AGGCTTTTATATTTTCTGGGGACGTGCAAGCCCCCTAATTACAGGTGAAGACATACGTCACAGGAAGGGGTTGCACTATAGGTTATACAACAATAGAGGGGGACAATCTAGGAGTATATCTGCTATAGGAAGGGGAGGTATTGGGGGTATACATGTCACAAGATGGGCGGATCCTAGACTCAGGGAGCCAGCTTAATTTTGGACATCGCTGAGCCGTTTTGACCTGTTCTCTGGCTCACTATAGAAACCATTATCAGTAAGGTGTAAACCCCACCTATAGGGACCAGACTGATGGCCGCAGCCTTTAGAGAGAAGTAGCCCATTATCCTTAACAACAGGGAGTGGGCTGTGGGATCAGACTGTAGTCTGGCAACTGAATGGCTTCAGGGAGAATGTGTCTAAGCAGCTGACCTCCCACCATATGCTGGCAAATAGCCTCTGATGTTTGGCATATCTTTGGGGGAGACAGAACTGGGGGGGAAAAAAGTCTCTTTATAATCCAACATTTCCTTATAATTGTTGTTATGTACACAAACCTTTTACAATGAGATATTATGTTAAATGATTTACTCATTTAGAAATATTGCTCTAAACCAGTGACATGTCTCATGAAATGTTATTCAAGCATTGATTGCATAAGCGTCTGACAACCAGGTCTCCATAAATAGTGCATCTAACACAGTTTGTGACTTACACTTCCAGCCAAGCGGAGTGATGCATAGCCTTCCTGAGCACATGCAGAATGCTGTTTGTGAAAATGCCAGTTCAGTTGCCAGTACCCATGGTACAGCGTAGGACAGCTGATTTTACGATTCATCTTAGAGATGGACCTTTGTGATCACCACAGGATAAACAGATACTGTGCTGTTCTTCATAATGACCAAATACAGTTTTTATTTATGTTGGATTTATGAAACATCTATACCAACCAGCAGCCCTGGTGGTGTACTGGTTACACGTTGGGCTGCTAGCCTCAAGATCAGTAGTTCGAAACCCACCAGTCACTCTACGGGATAAAGATGAGATTTTCTACTCCTGTAAAAGATTTACAGCCATGAAAACCCACAGGGACAATTCTACCTTGTCCTATAGGGTCTCTGTGAGTCAGAATTGACTCAGTGGCATTGAGGGTTTTTTTTAATATACTAAAGAATCTTCTTAAATTTGTGCTAAATTTCTTCCTTTTAAAGAGAGTCGGACAAGGACATTCAATAAGAATTCAGAACACATTGACTGAGGTCATGCTGGTCTCATTTCTTTCCCCCAAATTGTACTTTAAGCTTTAAAGTTTGTTATGCAAAATAAAATAATTCTATATTCACCCCCTAAGACGGGAGATAAAAAACAAACACAGCAACTCCATCTGAGGAATTTGGAGGTGTGTGTGGTGGAAGAGTCTTCTCATTATATTCAGAAATACACAATAATGATTTTGAAAATTTTTGTCTTTTTTTTGTAAAGAACTTTTAGTACTACACTACCACAGATTGGTACTACTGGACAATTATTTGTACAGACTCGGACAGGCCAGGAAGTTCTTACTAGGGTGAAGCATTTCATGAAACAATACATCCTTCCAGCTGAAAAAGTAAGTAGTGTATAGAATGTAAGGGTTTTGGGGGCACGAAACGGAATTAAAGATCCAATTGGTAAAGTTTTAGAAGCAGGCTTTATTGAGAAGCTTGCGGGCGGGTTCAGCA